TTGAAAGTCCGACATTGGATTGCTTCAATCATTGCATAATATTTACATAGACATTTTTACGTACTCCGGAGTTATATATTTACTTTAAAGATGCAATTATATTATAAGGAACCAGCTATTTTTGCACAACCTATGATTTCACGAACCAAATGCTGTAGCGGGGTTTGAGCAGCATGCACATACGTCACGTAAAGATACTGGAGTGCCTTGGTGACCTGCGCACCCGAGAGGTGTACGCCTCACAAAGCACTTGAGGGACTCGCCAGTAGAACCTGTCACGGGTCCACTGCCTGTTGAGTGTCCGTGCGTGGTCTTTTAGGCTGGAGTGCCAACACAGGGGAATGCGCCTCGGCCTCCAGAAAATACTCGTCCTCCATAGGCCGGACCTCTCTGTCAGTCTCACAATATGCGCAGGAACAACGTGCTGCCCCAGCGACAGAGACGGCTGCACCCGTTTGCAGACTCCACTGCGTGCTCCTCTCTTTATTTCATGCGCTGCATTAAAAAAAATCGGACGCCCAAACGGCAATGACCCTCAGACGTAACTTCTGTCGTTTCGCAGACATCGCTGGCTTAGAAACCGAAGGGGCAGCAGCAGATACCCTTATCAGCGCAGCTGCGACACGAAGAAAGCAGCCCACTTGTACCGATTTGACCACCGCATGAGGCGCAACAGAAGTCACATTTTCCATTCGCCTAGGGATCCCTAATGACTGCGTGTCAGATGAAGTAATGTCTAAATGTGCAGCTGCCAACGTCTCACAACGTTGCCACAGACCCGGAGGGACTGCAAACAAACGGGGACCTTGACGACAAGCGAGTTTCAACCGACGTGGGACCAGTAGACAAGTGTCTATGCTGGGTGAAGACACCACCGGTGCGCGGAATGAGCAGAGAGTTATCCGCAAGGAGAGTGCAGAGTAGTGGAAACCAGGCGGCCGATGGCCAATACGGACAATCGGGAGTGCACCACGCCTAATCAGATTGTACCTTTGTCAGCGCCGCTTCAATCAGTGTCCAAATGTGGTTGAAAAGAAATAGACTATGGGGTCGGCCCAGTAGCGTGCAAATACACACCCCTACAGGGTGGGTACACAATAGTACGGGATCACATTGTCGTCCGGTAAAGCAAAGCCATCCGCCGTATGTGGTTCCCATTTTTATCAATTCGCCAAAAGTACAAGGACGCAAACATGTACTACTCGGTAGCAGGTAGTTGAACCAACTGCTCCGCGAAAGACACGGTAAAGCCCAGTCTGCGCCCTTTTACACGCAAGATCGGGTCTACAGTCGGATTATCAACACCCGGAACATGTAACATCGATCCAATGTTAAAGTTCTAAAGGATATCAAAGTACCATCCCATGCGCCGTCCCCAGGCATCATCCGGAAAGGCACCACTTGCCTTGCTCAGTATAGCCACCAATGTTTGGTGGTCCGTGTGCAAGCAGATAAGGACAATTATCAGACAAAGGATTCTAGTATTCTTGTGAATCTCATAGACCAGAGCCAGAGCTTCCTTGTCGGTGATAAGGTACGCTAGCTAAGCGCAGTCATATCGCGAAGCAAAGATGCAACCGGGTAGTAGCTCATTCCTTTTGATGATAGCCAGGAATCAACCCTCACCCACGGATTTAGATGCATAAGCGTATATCACTAGCTGTCCTTCCGGCTGCGGCTCAGCCAACACCGCACAGTCACGCAATGATTCATTAGGTACACAAACCAGTGCATATATTGGGCAGACTCGTAGACTACATAGAGTCAACAATTGATACAGAGTGTTTGAAGGCGTTACTCACTCTCAGTGTACCAACCTCTATAGATTTGCTAAAATTCTGGTACCACAACCGTTAGTTGGTGTTCTGATTACGTCCCGAACTTTGGTCGCATCCTGGCCCTGCTCTCGGCCAGTGCTTAGCTGCGTATAAAAGTGCACATAGAGTGATACTAGTGCCGGAAGACTGGACCAATGTTCATGTGGGTCGTCATGAGCGAACGATATATCTTCTATATATTAGACCACGTCGTGTAACCCTATCCCCCCCCCCCTTTACCCACAAACGTGTACTACCCTTTAGGTGTGAGAAAAGATAATATTTTCTCGAACCAACCGCCACCTGACGCCACCCGACGCCACCCGACGCTGACACAACCCTTGTTCTATCAACTGTGGTCACCAATGCCTGCCTTTCAACGTAGACAAATACTCTCGTTTTGTAGGAATGTAGTGTGGCTCTGCTCGTAGCTGAGTGTACACACATTTGAGGTAATTGTAGCAGCGTCAATCATTCACTGTCACAGGTTTGACCCCCGGATTTTGTGTAGCAAATGCGGAACTGAGCATTTTTTTTATCTTCTCAATTATCCCTGCCGCCAGTCATGCTTCCACTGTTAGCTCGAGCGCTTCCAACTTGAGAGGGTTCTTGTTGAATTAAATTGCAAACTGCGGTATCGCTTCATGAATCTCATATAGAACCGAGCCAGAAAAGTTAAGAAATCGTGGATGCCTAGAACTTCAGCTATGGCTTTACAGTCTGATAGCAGGTACTGCAACACTTTCTGAGGTATGTCACGTTCTTTCGCCAACTCTATTATTCTTTGAGTATTTAAAGAAGAGTCCTCACTTTTATTCAATACTTCATACTCCTGTACTTCAGAAAAATATTCTGCGGCACAAAAGTTTTTCGACTCACGCCCAAACTTGTGCCTCACAAGCGTGTCACCTGCTTGCGACTTCTCCTGCAAAACCTGGTGAACACTGCTTCCTCTGTTGCCACTCCTCTGTCTGCTACAGCTGCACCCGCTGTGGCTGTCTCCTCTACCAGTTCCAGGTATAGTACGCTACAGTACACTCACTTTGTGGTACTACGCAAAGCAAATTGTTCTTCCACAAGAGATGTCACTCTTGTATTTCTGTAGCAAGTTGTATCACTAGTAATTGCAAATGAGGTTTTTATATAGGGTATAGGGTTTAGGGTTTTAGCTAAAACTTCTGTCATTATTAAACACACAACCCAGACTTTCTTTGTCTAATCTGCTCACGGTTGCCACTGACAGTCTGACACATGTAGCACCCAGAAGCTACAGTACACTCATGTCTCCAACATCCGTAAATGTACGGAGTTACTTCTATCTCTAGATCTTTAGCAAGCACATGTTGATTTGTGACGCCGTCATATTTGAACGTTTTGGCACATACTGAATGATAAACGCTTATCCCATAACTCCAGGCAGCATACACAAAATACTCGCACATATTTATTTATTTTTCATGATATCGTTCGGCAGCGCCCCGGGACTGAGGTCGGTGTGGCTGAGATGTCGTATGAATAATTCCGAGTACATGCCCGAATAATAGCTTTCACGACATTAACAAATTCGTTGCCCTCATTGCTCGGAATCTTACAAGGAAACCCATGCTCAGAAAATACCGATACTAATTCTGTGCCACGGTTTTTGCATTCTTTACAGGTAGTGCTCAGAGCATCAATCACCCCGCCGCCACATCCTATATGTAGAACAAAATCTTCCGTTTAGTTAATGCAACCGCCATAGAAATGATATATGTTTGTATATGATCCAATAGACATTCTTTTAAAGTAAGTGCTACACCTGAGACTAGATACACTTTGGTCCATCTTGATTCGACCACACCATGCAGCTGATACTCCAGCAAGCTGTCATTATTGTCGATGTATAATAAAGTTGGTTGCACTAGCAATTATCTTCATACAGCCCCTTCCTTGGCGACCTTTTAAAGTGCAGCTACAACCGCTGCCTCACACCGCTTCGTTTGAATGCTGTCCTCCACAACCTTCTTTCCTTTCCATGCTGTTCAACGCTTCGACTTTCATTAGTCTGGCAATCTTTTTCCAATTCGGTAGCGCTCAGAGTAAGGTATAGGATGGACCGTTTGAAGAATACAAACTAAATAGAATGTGACAAATAGAACATTTTCTGATTTTAGTTATTGACACCAAACGAATCTAGATCGACATAGGGATATTATTATTTATTTCAAAAATGAGTCAAAGACAACATCCTCAGTCAAGAGACCTAAGACAGTCTCAGTCTTAAATCCCCTAAAATCATTAGCTCACTACTTAAGGCTGAGGCAAAACTTGATGTACATTGCAATCATTGTATCGTAAATATTTTGGTACTATATAGTCAGCCTGGAAAGACCGACATTCACATGTACAGCGACTGGGCACTTGTCTCAACGCTCTAGCCGCACATACGGTCGACCATTGTTCCTCCTGATTCACGCACTAACAGTAAGTCGCATTGAACAACGGCAAATCTCCTGCTTCGTATGCACTCTCAACTGCCACTCTGTCTTTCTCAATAGGTGTGATGCGTGCGATAACAGAACCCTTAATGTCTACTTCCGTTGCCTTAAGACTCTTGACCATTTCTTCAGCAAGTGCAAGGCATCGCAGCATGGCATCAATTCCTGCGCGTGCGTAGGTGTCTTTTGAAAAAAAAAGACCAGCGCCTATACTTCACGCGGTCACAGGCGCCCAATAGCAGCAGTGAGCCTCCCAGCTATCGCTCAAAAGTATTTAAACCCGCAAAACCGAGTCCCAAAAAATGCCCGACCCCACCAGCTTCTCAGCCCCTAATGCAGCTGACAGTGCCCGCACACCTTTTGACGAAAGTGATGGGCCGCCCGATGCCGGACAAAACTCTTGACGAAATAGATGACATAGCTCCGGTATGGCTCTTCTTCCGGGCAATTTTCCCTAACGGCAAGCCCCCATCCCAATCAGTAGTTGAAAAATACTGGCACGCCCAACCACTTCTCAATTGCCACCACTTTCTTTGGTATTTCCCGTCCAAACCGAGTTCTTAATGAAACCGCCGTAGGAGCTCCACCAGTTTCGTTCGCTTTGAGTTCCTAGCGACGCTGTCGCCCAGGTGAATCGAGATGCAGAACTTACGTGGAAATGGCAATTTGATAAAACCATCGACCCCCGCTCCCAACGACATCCCGACGCTACGAAAGCAGCTTTAATCCACTATCTTCGCACCAAGCGGGAGGCCCGCTGCACACATGAACGAGCGCCAAAATTCTCGCTCGTAGCATGGATGCTCTACTGAACCCCCTTGTCAACTCCAATAACACAGACATCCTCCAATCTACCACGGACCGTCTCCAGAAGGCATACCAAGCAAAGCATGATGAGAACCTCCTCCTACCTAACCCGCGAATCCCGGCAGGCGCTAAAGAACCAGCGCGTGCGCAGTCCGGTCGACTCCACGTACCAGCAGTCTTTCCGACACAACCATCCGATACGATGGCTACCAATACGCTGCCTCAACTTTCCACCACAGACTCTTCGACGACAGGCAACGATATAGAAATGGCTGACATCAAGAAGGAGGAGAGTCCAGTAGTGTTGACCGAGGATGAACAAAGTTAGGGCCAATGAGGATGACGCTCTTCAACCCACAAGGACTCAACATGGGACAACGCAGCACATACAGATGAGTGTTTGAACGTTATATTGATTGGGGGTCAGGTTGATGTTATGTGTGTGGTTGAAACCTGGCATAACATCACATTTCTTGATCATATACGCTCGAACACACACTATCCTATTCTACATCACATAACACGGCATAATATCTTACACCCTTCACACTGTGGGTTTTTCAAAACACCACCGGTCGAAATTTCAACTTGTATTTCCTTTGTGTGCTTTGGCGTTCGTATGGCCGTGTTCTATCTCCCACTCAAATGAATTACCGAAGAAGACGTCAGGTAATACATGAATCCTCCTGAGATGGCAATTTCCAACCAGACGCCGTTTGGGGGATTTCAACTTCAAAGCCCGTAAGTATGGCTATCCATCTACAAATCACGGACTACGTATGAACACAATCGAGACTACCCTGCGTAATACGTGGCACTTGAACTACCTCTATGCTTGTTAACTGGTACAGAACATGCGTATCACCGGCCTATCACCCCAGCCTCCCTCCAGACCTATAAGCTGACGGACTACGGTATTTGTGGTGACCATACCTTTGGACTCAATCTCCAAGTACTTCCAACGAAACAAATCCATCACCCCCAACAAATGCCAACAATGCCGCCAACTCCGGACCAACGCCTCCCCTTTCATGGATATAACCGATATCGCCATCGAATTTATCACCTACGCAACAAATCCCGCGCACGACTATTCCAAGCCGAATCCGGGCGCATCAGAACCTACTACGGTCGTATCTCACCTTGCACGGTCCAGTGGTAGGGCTGCTACTGATCCTCGTCCGCATCTGGCGCTATGCCGTTATTCATTCCTCTGTCCACTTGTATTTTTAGCTTTAGCTTTATTTACCAAAGCCTGAGAATAACCATTTCACCAAAGCGTCTTCAGATTGTTCCATTATGGCCATCATATCATATCGTATTTTATTTTATTTTATTAGGCATATACAATATAGTAACCAAAGAGATTTTCTCTGCATTGAATCGTAACATTCCGAATAGACTCTTGTTCAGAACAATACAGAGATGGTTCATCACTCCAAAAGCCTGATGTACGTTCGTCACGGAAGTTTTAAAACTCTTACACATG